AGGGGGGATCTGATCAACACCTATAAATCCTTCAAGGGAGGGTGTCAGGAGGATGGGGCCAGGCTTTTTTCAGTGGTGCCCAGTGACAGGAAAGAGGAAATGAGCAGAAACTTGAATATAAGAAGTTCCTCCTAAACATCACAGAATCACGGAATTGTCAGAGTTGGAAGGGACCTCTAGAGACCATCTGGTCCAACTCCCCTGCTAAAGCAGGAACGCCCAGAGCACATCACTCAGGAGCATCCAGGCGGGTCTTGAAGATCTCCAGAGAAGGGGACTCCACGACCTCCCTGGGCAGCCTGTTCCAGGGCTCCATCACCCTCACCATAAAGAGGTTTTTTCTCATATTTGAATGGAACTTTCTATGTTCCAGCTTGAGCCTGTTGCCCCTTGACCTATCGCTGGAAACCACTGAAAAGAGTCCAGCTCCAACATCCTTCAACTCACCCTTTAGATACTTATAAACATAAACAAGGTCTCCCCTCAGTCTTCGCTTGTCCATGCTAAAGAGTCCCAGCTCCTTGAACCTTTCCTCATAAGGGAGGTGCTCCAATCCCTTAATCATCTTGGTTGCCCTACCCTGGACTCTCTCCAGTAGTTCCCTGTCTCTCTTGAACTGGGAGGCCCAGAAATGGATGCAGGATTCCAGTTGTGGCCTCCCCAGCACAGAGCAGAGGGGGAGAATGACCTCCCTCAACCTACTGGCCACACTCTGAGAAGGAACTTCTTTCCTGTGAGGGTGGCAGAGCCCTGGAAGAAGCTGTTCAAGGAGATGGTGGAGTGTCCGTCTTTGGAGACATTCAAACCCCTCCTGGACACGTTCCTGTGCAACCTGCTCTGGGTGGACCTGCTTTGGTAGGGAGTTGGACTGGATGATCTCCAGAGGTCCCTTCCAACCCCATAGCATTCTGTGATTCTGTGATATTGTGACCATTGCACCAACCACCGCTGAGATATAAACCCTTCCCAGAGGGTCCCCGTGGGTTCCAGGGATTTCAGCTCCTTCCTCCCAGCAGGTGGGTAACCAGGGTTTGTCCAAGGAGCCCCAGAAACCGTGGGGGAACATGAGGGGGCTGCAGCCGTGCGGGGAACAGGATGCCCCCGCCACCACTGCCATCTATGCCTCTATGTCACCCATGTCACAAACTTCCCCATCCTCCCAGCTGAGCGGCTCCAGCCATCACAACATCTCCTTGGCCCTCCAACGACCCTTTCCAACAGGTCCATGTCCATGGAGCACCTGGTGCTGCTGTTGGCTGGGTCTCCGGCCACCATCAACCTCTGGCTCCTCCAGGCTGTTGAGAAGGTGTTGGACATGGCCCCCACCTCCTTCAATGACCAGTACCAGGGCTGCAGCCCCAAGATGGAGGAGGAGCTGGGGGAGCTCAACAACACAGAGTTCACCAACAACAGCATCTACGCCAAGTACTGGACCCAGGCTGCTGACAATTGGCAGAACCAGGAAGGTTGTGTCCCCCAGCCACTGGTGCTGTGGACGGAGCACACGATGGCCCTCACGGCGTACCCCCTGCAGGAAGGCCTGTACAAGGAGTTCAACAGGACCGTGTGCGAGGCTGGGTGCTCCTGCAGGAAAGAGCTGGACAAATTCCACTTCAAGGTGCTTAATTTCCTCCTGCCCCAGGCCCTGAGCAACCTGTTGGACAAGAAGGAGAAGCAGAAGGAGAAGGATGCCAATACCCAGTCCTCCAGGCACAGTCTAACTGGACAGATCTTTGGAAATTAAAGAAGATCCTCTCTGTGCTCAGCCCAGGTCCAGCCCAAATCCTGGCCTGGTCCCAAGTCCAACACCAAGTCCAATCACAGCATTCTGGATGGTCGTCTCTTGATTTAGAATCGTAGAATCACAGAATGGGTTGGGGCAGAAGGGAGACCTTAAAGATCTCCAGTTCTTTGTACAATGGAAACAAGGAGACGGGGTTCGTTGGCGAGGTGTTTGGAGCTCTACAAGGAGAGGCGCTGGAGAAAGAGCTGGAGGCCCCCATTGTTCCTAGAGATGCCCATGAGGGTGGAAAAGGGCTGGCTGCTTCCTTTGGTTCCGACCAGGGAAAACCAAGCAAGGACAAGAAGAAATGATGGTGGAGACACAGGAGGCCCCTTCCCAAGTGCCCCATTTTAATGCCTGGAGGGTAAACTCGTCTCTTGCTGTAAAGGTCTCTCCCTTTCAGAGGCACCGCTGTCAAGATCCAAACCCCTTCCTGGTGCCCTCTCAAGGATCCCTTTGTTGCTCGTGGATGGCACGGGGTGGTCTTCTCTCTCCTCCTGGTTTACACCATGGGGTAGACGACAACAAAATAATGAAGCTCTGAGTCAATCAGGGATTTGAACCTCCTGTAGATGTCACGCAGGAGCCGATCCTCCTCAGTGGTGTCTTGTTGGGCTGTGAATATCCTGACCTGTGGGCACGAATGGCAGTCATGTCTCTTGGGTGCATGGAGCTGGCCCAGCCCATGACCACTTGTGACAAGAAGAAGCCTCTGCGGTTAATGAGGGATCTAGAGAAGCAAAATGCCTTGGTTTGGACTGAAATCTGGAGGTGTTACCATTTTCACTCCAAATGGACTGAAAGCATCATCTCCTGCTGAAGAATCTTTGGGAAGAGCAAGGTTCCTTTTACCCCCAGAACTGAGACACCCCTGGGACCTGCAGGGATCTGGGAGGATCTACAGAATTCAGCATCTGGTCCCCAAAGCAGCGTGACAGCATCGAACATCATCTGGGGAAGGTAAAGGGTGAACATTTCCATATGGGACCTTTCTTTGGCCATGGGGACCTCACCTTTCTCTGGGTGTTGGAGGGAGGAAGGGACGGGGAGTTTTGAAGCACAAAGTCCTACCTTTAGAGTAGTCAAAGTACATTTCCTTTCCGCACGGTTTTGGAGCAGCCTCTCCACAAAGGTGACACTTAGAAATGCCCGGACTTCCAGAAACGACAGCCGCTGGCACGATAAGACGAGCTGTAGTAGCTCATCGTCCAGGTGCTCCTGGTCATTGTTTAATTCCAGTGTTAATTGCTTGAAAAAAGAACAAACACCGTTAGTGCTGCTGAGCAGAGCCGGGGAGGGCAGTGAGGAGAATTCAATGAACAAGTTTCCCAACGTTCCCAGCAGAAGTGACCGTCAGGAGATCAATTCTGTACCTTGACGTGAGCAGGGAACCCCTTTTGTGTTACAACAAGAGAACATGCGACAGCGATCCCCACTCTCCCGTGGAGATGGGGGGCCCGTGTGCATTAAAGACCATCCTTAGAGATAGACAACTTCTATTACCCTTAGAAGATGCGACGCCCACAGCTCACATCATGATCTTATTTGACCAATTGGAAATTATCCCCCATGGGAGAGCAGATCTAAAGACAATTTCTAGAAAGCTTTGCAGATCTCTGGTGTTCATGGGAGGCTGCAGAGCAACAGAACTTAGAATCATGGAATGGTCAAGGTTAGAAAGGACCTTTCAGACCATCAAGACCCACCATCAGCCCACCACTGACAAACCCATCATTGACCCATGTCCCTCAGCACCACCTCTGCCCGGCTATGAAATCCCTCCAGGGATGGCGACTCCACCACTGCCCTGGGCAGCCCCTTCCAAGGTTTCACAACCCTTTCCAGGAAGAAATTGTTCCCAGTCTCCATCCTCAACCTCCCCTGGGGCAACTTGAGGCTGTTTCCTCTTGTCCCATGGCCTGTTCCTTGGGAGAAGAGACCGACCCCCCCTGGCTACACCCTCCTTTCAGGGAGTTGGAGAGAGCCAGAAGGTCTCCCCTCAGCCTCCTTTTCTCCAGGCTGAACACTCCCAGCTCCCTCAGATGCTCCTCACAAGTCTTGTGCTCCAGACCCCTCACCAGCCCCCTTGCCCTTCTCTGGACCTGCTCCAGCCCCTCAAGGTCTTTCCTGATGGGATGGACCCAAAACCAGCCCTCGAGGTGCCAGCAACCCTCAGACCGTGGGCTTCCCTCAGGTGTGCAATGACCTGATGCTCATTGACACGGGTCAGCTGTTGCCCACGCTTAGTGACACATCCTCGGTGACACCAACGGCCTTTGAAATGGGACCACTCGATTTGACACTTGTGCTTGGCCAAAAGGGAGCAAAGCCCTCAGTGCAGGCTGTAAGCAAACAAGGGCTGCAGGGTCTTGTCCTCAATCACAGATTTCCCCGCAAAAGGGAGGGCTTCAGAAAGTCTGAAAGGGTAAGAGAGTTTTTAGTTATTGAATGAGAAGTTGTCTAGCCAAATATGCCTGGGGCTTTCTTACAAAAATGAAGCTTTTCTGCCTGAAAAGTCCTTTTTTGCTGACAGCTGACATTCCAACCACCAGTATTTTGGGTGGATTAGCTTTTTAGGAGGGCAACCTGACATCAACTTGACAGCGAAGACCGGCACAATGGGGATCACAACTACACAATGATAATCACAGAATCATGGAATGGTTTGGATTGGAAGGGATGTTAAAGTCCTCCTAGTGCCACCCCCTGCCCTGGGCAGGGACACCTCCCACCAGCCCAGGTTGCTCCAAGCCCCCTCCAACCTGCCCTTGAACCCCTCCAGGGATGGGGCAGCCACAGCTTCTCTGGGCAACCTGGGCCAGGCTCCCACCACCCTCCCACCAAACAAGTTCTTCCCCACATCTCCTCTCCATTTCCCCTCTTTCAGGGTCAAACCTTTCCCCCTCCTCCTAGGGCTCCCCTCCCTCATCAAGAGTCCTTTCCCCAGCTCTCCTGTAGGCCCCGTTTAGGTGCTGGAAGGCTGCTATAATATGTATATTGACCAACAATATGCACAGTGACCTGAACCAGACTGTAGTGGGACACTGGAAGGGGTTGATTATGGAAACTATCCTCATCAGGTAACAATGAAGGCCTGTTGGAGCACTCTGCTTGGCTTTGTGACACTGCAGGGAGATGTCACCACTGGTTCCCCTACCTGCAGGACATGCCAGTAGGCCGGGAGGAGGTTGGTGATGGTGGGTCTCATTGTCACGTCTGGGTCACTGAAGCTGTAGCTCCGTAGACTGATGCTGCTGACGGGGATCTCCACCAGCAGGATCCTGGCAAGGTGATCGTGCCTCATGATTCTTTCAAAGAAGAAGTTCACACTCAGTCTGGGGGCTCTCTTGGCCAAATTTGCCCACGACATGCCCCAGACCACTTGCTCATGAGGGTCTTGGGAGTGACATTTGATGTTCAAGGTGCACAGGGAGTGAGCGCTGTGCTCCCGCAGGACGTCCAGCAGTTCATCAGAGATGCAGTTATAATTGAGGGTCAGGACAACCAGGCTGTGGAACTTGGACATGGTTTGGTGGAACAAGGCGCTGCTGTAGACAGGAAGGTGGAGACCGAAGAAATCCTCCATATTGATTTCAGATAGAGAGCTTTTATCTGTAGAGCAGCTGAGAGAATTCAGAAGCTCACAGCCTTCTTCCAAGGTTACTCTGGCTCCTTTCAAGTTGAGATAATCAAGCCGTTTGCTCATCCTTTTGAGGAAGGTAGATAAGTTCTTGAGAAACTGAGCCCTCACTACATTTTTCCACGTCAAGCGGTCTAATCCCAGGTACTCGATGCTCAGGGACATTAGGCGATGGTTATGCCTACTGAGGTGTGAAAAAAAACCTCTCATTGTCACTTGAAATTTTCGGGTGAAGGCCTTGCTGTAAGGATTCTGTAACTTGATCTCAAGGTGCTCCAGATACTGGCCAAATTTCCTGACGTACCACAGCGCGCTTTGCAACTCCAACGTGTTCTCCCTTGAGGGTTGGCCACAGAATGTGATGGTTCTCCTTCTCCAGAGGGACCCCGAGTGCATGGCCCAGTTCCAGTTTCTACAGACCAGGGCGGCATGAGATCTGTCCCTGTCATCTGACCAGTGGAAGACGCGCCTTAGACAGACATCAGGGAGGTGAGCCCAGGAGCTCTGCTCAGGTTCGTTCTCATCTTCCATTGGGAGGACACTTTTCCCTTCTCTTTGGGGTGTTGAACCACACCTGGAGGGAGCAAGGTGTGGGTGATTGTGCTGCAGTGGACAGAAAGAAGGCTGGTGGGTCAGAAGACCAAGTGGGTGGTGACAAAGAATAGAATCATAGTGGTTGGAAGGGACCTCAGAGATCATCGAGTCCAACCAACAAAAAACAAACAAACAAACAAACAAACAAACAAAAAAAAACCACACACAACAAACAAACAAACAAAAAAAAAACACCACCAAACAAACAACACCAGCTCCCACCACCTAAACACACAACAACCTCCAACCAAAAAACCATCACCCACCCACACAGCACCCCACCACAAACCAGTAATCTTGGGCACTAGAGCATGCCCTGAAGAACCATGTCTACACGTTTCTTAAATACCTCCAGGGATGGTGACTCCACCACCTCCCTGGGCAGCCCATTCCAATGCTGGATAACCCTTTCAGTAAAGAAATGTTTCCTAATATCCAACCTGAACTTCCCCTGGCACAACTTGAAGCCATTACCCCTTGTCCTGACATCTGTAACTTGGAAGAAGAGACCGACCCCAGTCTCTCTACACCCTCCTTTCAGGTACTTGTACAGAGCGATAAGGTCTCCCCTCAGTCTCCTCTTCCCCAGATTGAACACCCCCAGTTCCCTCAGCCTCTCCTCATAAGACTTGTGCTCCAGACCCCTCACCAGCTTCATTGCCCTTCTCTGGACCCGCTCCACCACCTCAATGTCCCTCTTGTGGTAGGGGGCCCAAAACTGGACACAGTACTCGAGGTGAGGCCTCACCAGTGCCGAGTACAGGGGGATGATCACCTCTTGGGCTCTACTTGCCACGCTGTTCTTGATACAGGCCAGGATGCTGTTGGCCTTCTTGGCCACCTGGGCACACTGCTGGCTCATGTTCAGCCAACAGTCGACCAACACCCCCAGGTCCTTTTCCACCAGGCAGCTCCAGCCACTCTGCCCCCAGCCTGGAGCGCTGCAGGGGGTTGTTGTGACTGAAGTGCAGGACCTGGCACTTGGCCTTGTTGAACCTCATCCCGTTGGTCTCAGCCCATCGATCCAGCCTGTCCAGATCCCTCTGCAGAGCCTCTCTACCCTCCAGCAGATCAACACTGCCACCCAGCTTGGTGTCATCTGTGAACTGACTGAGGGTGCACTCGATCCCCTCGTCCAGATCATTGATAAAGATGTTAAAGAGAATTGTCCCCAGTACTGAGCCCTGTGGGACACCACTCGTGACTGGACACCAGCTGGATTTAACTCCATTCCCCACCACTCTCTGGGTCCGTCCCTCCAACCCAGCAGAGGGTTGCCCATCCCAAGCCATGGGCAGCCAGTTTCTCCAGGAGGATACTGTGGGAGACTGTATCAAAGGCTTTGCTGAAGTCCAGATAAACAACATAAAAAACAGATAAACAAAACATGGAAGTCAACCACCACAATGGCAGAAGTTACCAGTTCCACTCTCAAGGCTGGGCTGGGTAAGGATTCAGCTCCCTGCGCTCTTCTCTAGTTCTAATGGTCTCCCTCCTGAGCTCAGGATTTATGTTCTCTGCCTCTGACCCCTCCTTTCCGCAAAGTCCAGCAGTTGCCATGGAGCAAAGAGGTACCGTTTGTGATGTCACCACAGCTGGAGGTGGGCGAGGGCAAAGGGGGAACACGGCCCACTTGGGTCAAGTCATTTGGGCCAAGGTGAAGACCCTGAGAAGGCAAAGTGGGTATGTTTGGTGGCCCCTGTGGCAGGAAGAAATAGTGGCCACAGCCTAAAAGCCACGTGCCAGCCATGTGTCTTGTCTTGGGGGTGACAAGAGACACGAAGAGAGAGTGGCTGCTTCGTTCTTTGTTTCTGGGTGGGATTAAACCACAGTAGTCCTTGTATCAATACTCTGTTGGTTGAGAGTTGCCTCTGTGTCCCCTAGGAATGGTGTTTTTCTCACAGTTTTCTATTTCTCCCACAATTTAATCCTTATGATTCAGTTTAATACGCCAACACTCAAGATCCATCTGAGTCTCCCTCCTCCCATCATTGCTGTTCAGCAACATTCATCTGATGCCTCCCAAATCTGGGTCCCTGTGGTCTCTTGTCTTCACGGTACATTCCTGTTTCCAGGCCTGGGGAGGCGGGTGGGCTGGAGAAAGGGGCCAGCAGGAACCTCATGAAGTTCAACCAGTGCCAAGTTCTGCCCTGGGGAGGAACAAGCTCTGGCACCAGCACAGGCAAGGACCACCCAGCTGGAAAGCAGCTGGGCAGAGAAGGTCCTGGTGGGCAACACGTTGACCATGAGTCAAGGTGACCAAGGGTGTCCTAGGCTGCATCAGGAGGAGCAAGGCCAGCAGGTGGAGGGAGGAGATCCCCAACTGGGAGGGCTGGGACTTCTCATCCTGGAGAAGAGAGGGCTCAGGGGATCTCCATGTCCATCAATACCTACAGGACAGGTTCCCAGGGACAGACCCTGGCTCTTCCCAGTGGTGTCTGGCACCAGGACCAGACACCATGGGCAAGATGGGGGTCCCTGCCTGTGCTGGTGTCAGAGGGGAGGTTGGGGCATAGGGCACCTCAGCCTGACCCAATTTCCATCCTCTTCTGGCCAGCTGTGCTGCCCAGAGGTGGACCCTGAGCATCACAGGGTGGCTACAAGACAATGCTGAGGCTGTTCCTTCTCTCAGTGCCCAGGGAAACTTCACTCCCTTGCACAGAATCATGGAATCATTGAATGGTTTGGGTGGGAAAGAACCTTGACCATCCAGTGGTCGAGGAACCGACCATCCAGTGCCATCCCCTGCTCTGGGCAGGGACACCTCCCACCACACCAGGTTGCTCCAAGCCCCCTCCAACCTGCCCTTGAACCCCTCCAGGGATGGGGCAGCCACAGCTTCTCGGGGCAACCTGGGCCAGGCTCTCACCACCCTCCCACCAAACAAGTTCTTCCCCACATCTCAGCTCCATCTCCCCTCTTTCAGGGTCAAACCCTTCCCCCTCCTCCTAGGGCTCCCCTCCTTCATCAAGAGTCCCTCCCCAGCTTTCCTGGAGCCCCTTGAGGCTCTGCAGAAGAGGGGAGAGAAGAGATCCCACTGCACCTCAGAGCCCAGGGGGACCTGCAGGCAGCACCCCCTCCTCACCTGGTGGGCAGGGCTGCCCAGAGCAGGCAGGGACAGGGGCAGGGATGGGGTGAGGATCTGGGGGGCTCCCCAACACTCATCGTATCTCCAGGTTAAGCCTGGACTTCCTCCACCACCACCCCTTGTTCTGGGTGGGCGAGATGGAGCTGGGGGTGCTCCTGCTGCTGCTGGGACCTGGCTGTGGTGGGAGACCGGCTGGGACCCCCCCAGAGAGGAGCCAGCACAGGGATGGGGTCTCCCTGGGACCCCCCTTCCCACTGTCCTGCACTTTCCATGCTCTCTGGCCCCTTTCCCTTCCACCTCAGACCCTGGGGTTGTCCTGGTGGGGCTCCCCCCTTGCCCCAGGGCTCCCTGTGAGGAGAGGGTCTCTTTCTCCTCGCCATGTCCCCCCCCGGCCGGGTTCCTGCCCTCAGCCTGGGGTGACACTGCTGGTCCCCTCGCACTCCCCCTACTACAACCATCCCTCCTGCCAGCGTCTGTGCCCCACCCCAGCCATCCTGAGGACCCTCCGTGTCCCCCATATCCCATCCCAAACCCCCATCACCTGTGGGTGTCCCCCTCACTGTTTTTGGCCACTGTCCCCCTCCCCACCACCCCCCCAGGATAGGGGACCCCGGTCCCAAGGGGCACAAGCCCCAGAACCTCCAGGGGCTGGTCCTTGGGGTCATGGGGGCAGGAGGTCCCCCTCCCTGCTGGCTGATGGGACCCCTCACCCTGGGATGACCCCTCTCCCAATAGGCATGAGCAGCCTGAGGACCCTCTGTGTCCCCCACATCCCACCCCGGCCCCACCATCACCCGTGGGTGTCCCCACCCCCACACCGTGTTATCAATTGAAAAAGGAAGACTAGGGAAAATGTAGGCCCACTGATGAAAGAGGTGGGCGCCCTAGTGGTGGAAGACATGGAGAAGGAGGAGTTATTGAATGCCTTCTTTGCTTCCATCTTCACTGCTAAAGCTGTCCCTCATGAATCCCAGGCTCTTTAGTCTGGAGAAGAGAAGGCTGAGGGGAGACCTTATTAATGCTTCCAAGGATCTAAAGGGTGGGTTGAAGGAGGATGGAGCCAGACTCTTTTCAGTGGTTCCCAGTGACAGGACGAGGGGCACCGGGCACAAGCTGGACCATGGGAAGTTCCACTCCAATGTGAGGAAGAACTTCTTTGGGGTGAGGGTGGCAGAGCCCTGGAAGAGGCTGCCCAGGGAGGGTGTGGAGTCCCCTTCTCTGGAGATCTTCAAGCCCCGCCTGGATGCTCTGGGCAACACTCTTTGCCAGGGGAGTTGGACTGGATGATCTCTAGAAGGTCCCTTCCAACTCTGACAATCCCATGTTTGGCCACTGTCCCCCTCCCTGCCGACTGACGGGACCCTTCTCCCAGGGAGGGACCCCACTCCGATGGGCACAAGCCCCAATACCTCCAGTGGCCAGTCCATGGGGCGTGGGGGGGGTGATGGGGGTGAGGGATCCAGCTCCCCCCTCCCAGAGACACAGGGCAGGGTGAACATGGCCAAGCCACCATCGTTGTCACTGGAGAAGAGCCAGAGGTGACTCAGCCAAAGCTGATGGAGTCGTTATTTTATTGAGGGCTGATTGGTTCAACGCAGGGGTGTGAAATGTTCCATGGGCACAGCTGGGGATGCTCCACCATTTACTGCCCGTGGAGTTGGTGGGGGGACACACAAAGTTGTCATCCCGTCGGCTTCCTATATGTATCTTAAAAGTTCCATGTAGAAGACATCACGTACCGACCCGTTGGTGCCAGGTTTGGTGCCTCTCAGCCTCGAGGGGTAACTTCAGAGGGGTCCCTTCTCTGGGGAAGTGCTGTCCCCACGGCCCCCCGTGGGTGTTATGGTGGACTCTGGGACTGATCTTCCCTGCCCGGGGTGGGCAGCAGCCCCAGGGCTCCC